TGCAAAGCATTCTGTAAATATGTAGATGACATCATAGCTCTGGGACTGGGCCAAAGCTTCTAGCTTATCTTGTTTATTCCTCATGCTGTGTGCACTAGCATAGAGATATTTCAAATGTGCTCCAGTGTACTTGGCACATTATGGAGGTGACTGAAGGACCTCACTAGTACACCGTCCATCAAACATTGGCCTGTCACCCCCAAGCTTACTTCCAGCAAGTCTTGTTTTATCCCCTTACCCCTTCAAATCTAGTTTAAAGCTCTTTTGATGAGCCCTGCTAGCTCTTGCACAAAGATCCTTTTCCCCCTTTGAGACAAGTGTACCCTGTCTGTCACCAGCTGGCCTGGTGTCATATAGACTGACCTGTAATCAAAAAACCCCAAATTCTGTCAATGACACCAGTCCCAGAGCCAGGTATGATGCAGCTGGGTCTTCCTGTTTCTCCCCTCATCATTCCCTGCAACTGGAAGGATGGAGGAGAACGCTACCTGTGCTCCTGATCCCTTAAACAGACACACCACGGCCGTGAAGTCTCTTGATTACACTTGGATTTCCTAATGCAACTTCATTGGTGCCTACATGAAAAAGCAACAATGGATAATAATCCAAGGGCCCTAACAGGATGGGAAGGTTTCTCTTCACAGCCTTAACCTGGGTCCCAGGGAGGCAACAGACTTCCCTGAGAGGCGGGTCAGGTCAGCATATTGGACCTCCTGTTCTCCTCAGAAGAGAGTCTCCGAGGACAATGATTCATCTTTTATTCTTTATGGGAGTGGTTTTGACACAGGGCATAGGCCAACTTAACCTTGGTGACACCTGCAGTGTAGATGAAACCTGCAGATCTTTTTCATCCTTGTTTGTTTCCATTTGCAGAGCCTGATACCTATGATGCAAGGGCACCTGGGAAGGTGAGGCACTCACAGAGGAGATGTGCCTGCTGTGCCGGGCAAGAACTTGTCACCTCCCCCCTATCTCTTAAGTCACTGTGTTCAGCCAGGTGGAGAGAGGACAGGGAATCCTCTGTGTCTTGTGTCCTGTCTGCCTGACAGGTCTGCCCCAGGGGAGGTGCTGGAACTGCAGTTCCAGTAATCTGTCTCTGACTCCCAATATAGTGCAATGCCATACTATGTTGACTATGCTGGACTAGACACTGAAAATACTCCAATCCTGATAGCACAGTACTTTTTACAGAACAATATACCTCCTATCTACTTGCCCAGGTAAGAGCCACAGTAATCTGGATTTGTAATTTCTCTTTCTGGTACCTATGCCTGAGACAACATTCATCTCCTAAGATCTGCTTAATGTTTTCAGGCACTTGGAGAAAGGTTATATGTTTCTATATGCTCACAGAGGTGAGTACCACAGAAGGAGACAGATTCGGTGAAACAAGACAATTACATCCAAGACCGCAATTTCTCTCTGCATCCCTTATATAAGTCTGACACTTTCTTAGCCCACGGCCAACAGTACTGGGCAAGTAATGGGCTACTTGCAATGCTATAAATACAAAGGAAAAATAATCTGGAGAGAGCAAAATACGACAGTGCAGGAATTTCTTCCTATTTTCCTTTTGATGGGGAACTGCTGTTGTCATAAAAAAAAATAGATTATATCTTTTTTTTCCCATAATTTTCTCATGTAAGTTTCTGTACTAAAAGTGCTTGAATTGTATGATGTCTGAAAACAGATACTGATTTTAAAATATTTTGTACTTAATTATGTGACATTATATTTAATTATTATACAAATATATGAAGACTTTTTAACATGCTGACTTTAGAATTTCTAATTTATTCTATTTGCCTCAAATTTTTGTGCAGCTTGTCCTTTTCAAACATATCTTCCCTTCTACATTCAGCCTTTAAATTTGAGATTACAGAGTAGATTTGTTTAAGTTGGAAAAATAAATTAGTGTTGTAAAGAAATTAATCAGCTTTGAGTAATATCTTATAAAATCATGTCACACATTCACGGACCACGGATGAACATATGCTTCTAACAATCAGCCATAAAGGTAAACATCATAAAGCTACAAGCAAATTCCATCTATCAGGTAGTCAGTAGTCTAGCAGCTGAATGACCACATTTATAAAATTCAGGAACATGATAGATTTTAACCTAGTTGCAACTCTAAACTATGGTCATTTTATTTACAGAACAAAGTCTATTTGTTTCAGCACAACTATTTGTGCAAGTATAAGATTAATACTCCAAATACATGCAAACTTTTTGTTTTGTTTTTTTACCCAACAGTGTAGGTTTTTTGGATATTTTTCTTATCAGCTTATATCTTTTATTTTGTTGCAGTGCAGTAAAATTTGCACTTTCAAAATTTATATAATCTATGTGGATACACAGATAAGATGGAACCTTGCATCCTGAATACTTTAAAATCATTGAAATACTGTCTTGGATATCTAACAACACTTAAGAAAAAGATAGTCTTTATGTAATTGAGACTGACAAAATTAGGAATTGATAGATTATAACTGAATGTTATATAATAACATAATATTTAATGAAAACACTCTAAGCATTTTAATAAAATCTTACCAAGAATATTTTAAGCAATGCCTTCTGGAATTTATTGAAAGAACATGAGAAATAAAACTTCTTTTTTTAACACTACTTCAATCTTGTCATTTGTCTCTCTAGAAAATGCAGCAATGCTCTTGCAAGATGCTCTGCCTTAAAGCTGTATAAATTTACTGCAATGCATATTTCTAAAGAACTGATCAGTAAATTAATAAACTAATATTAAATTTTTTCTATTTTAGAACAGTAAAGGAAGAAGACTTCTCAGTTCTCCTCTTTATGCGGACTAGTTTGATGGGATCGCAGTACAGCAATCACCTCACAGATTTCTTCCTCTTTCTTTTTTTTAATTTTCCTTTATACTAAAAACTGTTTGCTGAATATTGGGACTTTTAAAAATTATTCAATCGCAAACTAAAACCATATTTAAATATCTTAATAATAAAAAATTATTAATATTATGCTTCCACACATTGCTGCACAGCTTTGCTGAGGCCATTCTCTTTCAATAATTATCTATTTTCTTGCTTTTTTGACATTTTCCAAAGCTGAGGAATGTAAGTCCTAAAACTTCAATACCTGTATATGTAAAACATCTCAAAACACTGTTTTATCTAGTTCAGACAGTGGTAGCAATTAAAATAGTAATAATAGCCAAAATAAGTATTTACGTTATTGTGCATTTTCTGAATATTTAGAAATTAGTATTATATCTATAGTTATATGATGAATAAGTGAATATTAATATTTAAAAAGAGCCTCTTTATATTTTTAAGCTTTTCAGAATTCTTCCGAAGGAACTGTATGAACTAATTAGTTAAAGCTCATATTCCAAAATGCTATTGTTTATGAGTCTGACCAGCTGGCATGATCCAGGCCACAACATTGTAGTTAAGATAGGAACTGAAAATACATTGCAAACAGAAGAAAGATGAACTTAAGCAGCTGTTTCAGATTCTTGAAGCTGCCATTGGTGAGTGACTTAAGGGAGGAATTGGAAGCATAAAAGGATTTTTCAATACGCTAGCAAACTGAAAGCAAAGAGAATAAAGAGGGTGTCTACCTTCAGGCAGTACATCAAGAGCACATAAGTAAACACATAACTCAGCCACAGAGAGTGAAAGTGGAGACAGCTCTCCATTTAGTGCTTATTAGTATAATAATTAGGAAATTATTAGTCAAGTAACATAGGGGAGGCATTTGTGCCTCAGTGTAAAGGACTCACCCACTACTGACATTTCGGGAACACTAGCAGTATAAATTTCTTCTGGAAATGTTGGTTCATTGTCATTAATGTCATGGATTTTGATGACAAATTCAGATTCAGGTTCCACTGGTCTCAGAGTTCTTCTATTAATAGCTTGGGCACGCAGGGTATAAAAAGCTTTCTCTTCCCTGTCAATTCTCCGAGTAGCATGAATGTCACCTGTTTTCTCATCAATTATAAAAAGAGTACCAGCCCCATCTCCTGACAAAATGTATTTAAGAGATCCATCTCCTTTGTCCTGGTCAGAATGAAGCTGGAAAAAAAAAAAAAAAAAAAAAAGTACTTTATTTAGAAATAATGAAAATTTAGGTGTTGTGTTTTGGTTTTGTTTTTTTTTTTAAATAATTATTATATGTTAAATCATTCTGTGTGTAACAAACATGTTTAATGCCAACAAAACAAAGTAATTTTCAGTCACTATTGACTAGCAGTCACGGTGTCATGCTGAGGCATTTGTTTCCTAACTTAGCGCCAAGAATCTTTTAACTTGACTGTTGTGGTAGATTTTAGTTTTGCAACAACACCTGTTCTCTGCTAAGAAACCTCTTCACCACAATTCTTAAAGAAGATTTTTATGTTAATATTGACCTTTTCATTCCTTGAAGAGATCCTATTAAAAATTCACAGCCTGCTGTGCTGGTTGTAAATTCACTGAGCAGATAAAGAACATGGCAGAATATATGACAATTAAGGAAAACAGAACAACTGGTTCCATGTCATACTACATTTTTTTGACTTTTTTTTTTTGTATTTATATTTGTCCTAAATTGGAGAACATTTCATTTAAAGTCATTGTCATTTTCACTCCATCAACTAACATAAATAGCCTTAAGGAACGAAACAAATTTATTAGGCATTCAGTATTGATTTAATATCAATTATGTAAGTAATATAAAGCTTAGCTTCATCTATTAATGATTTGTAGTACGACTGACTTTAGTACAACTACAACAAAAAAAAATTATGTTGCTTTGTTCAGTACAGTAATATGGTTGGTTCATTTGATCTTTTAAATACACATACCATAATTTCTCTCATCACCTTGTTGGAAAGTTCCTTCCAACCTCATTGATTTCATAATTAACTGAAAGAATCTCTCATTCAAATTTATTTTCACCATTAAATGTATACTTTTTTTAAAAATTTTGCATTCAGCAGAAAGATCAGATCAAGTAGAAGCGCTGATTACAAAAATGAAGTGCAAATATAAAGGCTTTTTAAAAATCACATTCAAAAAATAGTAGAATGTTAAAAAAAATAAGACATAACTGGTCCATTTTTTTCCTTTCTAAAAATAGTAATTTGAACACACATTAACAACATCACTTAGAGCTGCAGTAAGATCATATTTAGTCATATGAAGGGTTTTTGTTAATTTAAGCTCACATTTCAGATCATGAAAACATTATACACGTGGTTTAGTATAAATATCCCCCTTGGCATGCAGTCATAGAAGTATTTCCCTTTTTTGTCTGTGGTGCTCTCATGTTGTCTTCCATAGCATCCATTTTGAGTCAGTATCAGAGGAAGAATATTAGAATCATAGAATAGATTGGTTGGAAAAAAACATTATGATCATCTAGTCCAACCATAAACCTAGCATTGCCAAGTTCACCACTAAAGCATGTCCCTAAGTACCACATCTACACGTCCTTTAAATACCTCCAGAGATGGTGACTCCACCATTTCCCTGAGCAGCCTGCTCCAACACTTGACAACCCTTTCAGTGAAGAATTTTTTCCTAATATCCAACCTAAACCTTCCTTGGTGCAACTTAAGGCCATTCCCTCTTGTCCTATCACTTGTTATTTGGGAGAAGAGACCAACACTGCCCTCACTACAACTTCCTTTCAGGTAGTTGTAGAGAGCAATAAGGTCTCCCGTAATATTCAGCTACTAGAGTTTTGAATGTTGCTTTGCCTACCTTTTGTGCTGAAACCAAACATACAGAATGAACTGGTGGGATAAGCTGAAATCAAACAGTAAAATTCTCTACCATTAAACATTTTCAAACACTGAATGTTTCGCACATAACTGATTGCAATATGTGAAACAGAAAGAGCTCATGTGAATCTTGGATCAAAGCCTTTATGGTTGAAATTTAGAATTGTTTGGAATACTGATTTTCTATATAAAGGTTTTCCTGTTTTCTTTTGGTTCAGAAATAAACTTTGAGAAACTCTGTAAATATTTATTAAAGAATAACAAATTCAACTTCTCTTACTTTGCATGTTTACTTTACAAAATTCATATTTTCTTACTACTTTCTTAATTCGTTCTGTAATAATAAAGAAATAGTGAGCTCCACCAAACATGTAGAGTAGGAAAGTAGATGATAAGAGAAATCTTTCACAAACAAATCCTATTTTTTCTTTTCCTTCCAATTCTGTTGCTGACTTCAAACTGAAGGTTTCAAGCCATTGTTGGTCTCCTTTTGGGGAATGAATTTTTACTGTGAACTGTAATCCCTCATGCTCCTCTCTTGAAGACCCATTAAAGTTGTGACCTTTCACCCTTCTAAATAACATTCTGTTTAGGAGACTGAACAGTATCTTGCAGGCTGTGGCCCATTTTATAATGTCATTTAGTGTAACTAGTCCTCAAAAGCTCTTTAAGCGGTTTCTTCTCCATGTCTTCCTAGGATACCTCTTATCTTCAAAAATGTTTTGGTTCTAAGAGTTCCCTGGTGGCCCATGACCCCTAGATACATTATTTTCACAGCAGGGTGATGAAGAGCAGTTATAGGAGGCCGCTATTCCTTAGACATGTGCACTAGAAATACAAAATAAAGGCCCATTTGAGCAAGAAAAATTGGAGCAGTGGCAGGGGGAAAATGTTTAAATCAGTACATTGCAATTTTCCCATATGCTTTCCAAAGTCAGATCTGGTATTCTAAATTCTTACACAATTGGCAAGAGTACGTTGAGGCTGCAGTGCCTGTTCTTTAACTTGGAAATCAGTTAGCAGAGTCTGGCAAAATCCATTCTAATAAATTGTCTATCTCCAGAATAGCATAAATCCATGCAAACTGTTCCTAGGAATAGTATATGGCCAGATTTAACTCACAAAACATGCATAGAAATTGTTTTGGAGACTGAAATTTAGCAAAAAGCATGCCAGAAGCTTGTAAAATAATTTAGCAATCCCAATAACCACATTCTGGTGCCTGACAATGTTGCCTGGCACTAGAATCACAAATACAGTGTAAGGAAGAGAACAAAATCAGAAAGCAAAGAAAATCTCTACACTATAAAAGATCAAGCTTTTGTATAACTATATTTAGATCCAATTCAGGATGCAAAGACCTTTTAACATATGTTTGTCTAATAGGTTAGGTACTATCAATGTTGAAGGTTTTCCATTACTTCTCCTGAAACACACTATGTGTGTTTCAAAAATTTTTACTTAGATCTTTTAGGGAGCTGATAGTTGCACTTCAGAGTAACATATTTATAATGAATAACAATATGCATAATTTAGAAGAACACTTTATCTATAGCGCTCTGCATTTTCTGAAAAATGCTAATAATTTCACTTCAGATTGGTAATCCAATGTAAATTTTATGTATACACACAGCAACCCACAGTTATTGTAGAAAATTGTTCAGAATGACAATTCAGAATGTCTTCTTGGGTGATTAGGAAACACAAAGCTATAGATACAATGAATAAGGTTTCCAGGCATAATTAAAGGAGTGAAAATAAATATTATATACAAGTAAGGAAAGATAATATCTCTCATTTAATTTTCTTAGCTCGTAATTCAATCCAGATGTTATTAGAGGAATCAAGATGGTTGAAGATCACCCTATGTGCTTGAGAGTCTTGAACACTGAATTTTTACGCAGTTCTGAAATGCATGAGCAGCTTGTCACAGAATCACAGAACGGTAGGGGTTGGAAGGGACTTCAGGAGATCATCTAGTCCAACCCCCCTTCTAAAGCAGGTTCCCTACAGCAGGTTGCACTGGAAAGCGTCCAGGCAGGTTTTGAACATCTCCAGAGAAGGATACTCCACAACCTCTCTGGGCAGCCTGTTCCAGGGCTCTGTCACCCTCACAGTAAATATTTTTTTCCTTAAGTTTGTGTGGAAATTTTGGTGTTCCAGTTTTTGCCCATTGCCCCCTGTCCTGTCAAAGGGTACTACTGAAAAAAGCCCAGCCCCATCCATTTGGCCCCCATGTTTCAGATATTTATAGACATTGATAAGATCCCCTCTCAGTCTTCTCTTCTCCAGGCTGAAGAATCCCAGCTCTCTCAGCCTCTCCTCATACGGAAGATGTTCTATCTACTCACCATCTTTGTGGCCCTCCACTGGACTCTCTCCAAAAGATCCCTGTCACTCTTGAACTGAGGAGCCCAGAACCGGACACAGGATTCCAGATGTGGCCTCACCAGGGCAGAGTAGAAGGGGAGGAGAACCTCCCTCAATCTGCTGAACGTCATCAGATTCCTTTCTGCCCAACTCTCCAGTGTGTCTAGGTCTTATTGAATGGCAGCACAGCCTTGTGGTGTGTCAGCCACTCCTCCCAACTTTGTATCATCAGCAAACTCTAAGTGGGCCTTAGCCTTCCTAGTTGCATCCCTGCAGGCCCTGTCCACATTCCTATATTCCTCCCAAGTGCCTAGACCCTTTTTCCACATTTCATGGACCTTCCTCTCCCCTTTGAGATTTTCCATTAGCTCCTTGCTCATTCACACAGGTTTCCTGCTACTCTTGCCTGATTTCATTCTCCTAGGGATGCACCGATCTTGGGCTTGGAGGAAGTGGTGCTTGAGCATTAACCAACTCTCTTGGGCCCCCTTAGTGTCAATTAGCACTGCAAAGTTCTGTCATTTTACTCTAGTATTAAAAAAAGTTCTGTGAATTATTTCTCTGCTACTTTTAATATAAAGTGTTTCCTATAGTTATTTTGGCTAATGGGCATCTGTGATTCATGTCAGCCAAGCTGAGAAATGGAGAGACATCTGTTTCATTTAGCAATTTTACCGCACAAAATTATCAGCTGTGAAGAAGTGGTTTTGTTTTCATATCTGTCATTAATATTTTGCAAACTTGTTTCAGTGAATTTCTTGCTGTTCTTTCACAGAAATACTTCCCTTTTCAGCTGTCATTGCTATATGTACTTTATATATAATTTTTCTCACTGTATCGAAAATGAGAATGTCTGTTGGTTTTATTTTATATAGTCCTGTTTCATCACACAGTAATTGCAATTACTGTAAAAGACAATTTTGCATATTTGGTCATCTA